CCCCCTCGGCGCTCCGGGGCTGCTGGGCGCATACAGATGTGACGCCCCTCCCGGGCCGGGCCGCAGCGCGGACAGGGCACTCCGGCGGGAGGACGTCCAGGCCACGGCACCAGGCCGTTTCTGAAGAGCGGGCGGGAGGGTGCACCTGGGAGCGCGAAGCGGCCAGCACGCCTCCCGAAGCAGACGAAGAGCGAGCGCGCGGTGAGGCGGGGGATTAGGAGCCCATTGCGGAGAGACCCGGCTTCCCGTTCCCGCACCGGCTTTTTGGACTGGTGTGGAACCCCAGCTGCAAAGCGGCGGCATTTTGGGAGCCCGTGAAGAGCATGGCAGCGGGTCGGCTGGGGCGGTGCGCTTAAGGACGGAATAAGGGTCCAGGGAGCCCGCAAGCCGGGCCCAGGGAACGGGTCAGGGATGGAGGCACGACATCGGCGGGAGGGCGACAGGGAGCGGAGCCTTTTTTGGGAAGCTTGTTCAATGTGGCCAACAGAACGAGGGGCTCTCGCCCCCTGGTGGCAGTTGTGGGAAGCACCTCGAAGGTGGCGAGCAGGTGACCAAAAGCCTAATCTAATCGTGCACAGTGCACAGGACCGGGAACCGGATCCTCCTAGCCCTGTCAGAGTGCCACCACGGAAACAGGACGCTCCGTTTCCCTTGAGGAGTCAGGAAGATCCGTGGCTTCGGGCTGGTTAGAGCCCAGGAAGGGATGGCGCAGTGGGAAGTCGCTGCTCCAGGAAGCAGTTGTCAACCTAAGTGAGGGCAATGCCTGCTCCATGCTACAACTATCCTCTTCAATTTGGTTTCTCACCCAGGCCCTGCCCAACGCAAGCCACTCACACACTAATTAAAACTAAGTCAGATTTTATTTTTTTCCATAGACCACATCATTTAATAATAAAAAAAATAAAAATAAAAATTGAACAAAAGGAAAGGTAGGATATAAAGTGGAACCGGTGGGCTTGGTGGACAAGAGGCAAGGGCTGCAGGACAGAAGAGACTGGGAACAGCAGGGGCCCTGGGACTCAGGAGGAGATGCTGATTCAGCTCATAGGTGACCCAGTCCTGGCCCCAGCTGTTCCCAAGAGGAGGCTGTGGAGTACCCAAGGGCGATGGTGAGCAGGATGGAGGAAAAATCAAAGAGGTTTGGGGCACCTGGCTGTTCCCCGCCTCTGGTCAACCACCTCCCTCCCTAACCTAGCTCTTCCCTCTCAAGACTTAATGGGAAATGAGAGGAGAAGGCTAAGTCCCAAGAGATAGGTTAAGGGAGGGTGTGGGGGGGAAGGATGGCCACTGCTCCATTTGGTATGTGGGGACAGGTGGCAGCCATACTTCAGCACTGGGCACAAGGTGTGAAAGACCCCTTGGGGTTCCAGGGTGGTGGAGATTGTACCTATCCCTCTGTGGCCTTTAACCCCCTGGGGCAGAGTGGCTGGTACCTGCAGCTCTCCTAGTATTTTCCCCGCTAGCGGCGCCCACCCCGGTCCCGCACAGGTGTGCTCCGACTCCGGCTTCTGCTGTGGCGCTTGGTGTCTCTACGATCCCTCTCCCTGCCTCGTTCCCGGTCCCTTTCCCTATCCCGATCTCGGTCCCCCCTGTCACGCTCCCTTTCCCTCTCTCTCTCCCTGTCCCTCTCCCGGCTGTGCTCCCGACGTTTCTCTCGCTCCAACTGACGGTTCCGTTCTCGCTCAGCTTCCTTCTCCCGCTCCTTCTGCTCTTCCTCTTCTTGCTCCTTTCGCCGCTTCTCCCGCTCCTTGGCTCGTTCAGCCCGTTCTGCCTCCTTCTGAACGATCTGTAGCCAGGCAGGAAAGGCAGAGAGTAGGCATCTCAGCCCTGCTCACATCAGTCCCGCTGTGTCCATCTGTGCCTGGACCCTGTACTCCTAGGGTGGGTGGGTGGGGCCCTAAGCCACAGCTCCTGTCTCAGAGCACTTCTCTCCACACTTTCAACTTTTATATACATGACAGGTGCTAGCACCATCCATGCCCGGCCTCTGGAATTTCCCTAGCTACCATCAACCTAGACGTAAACAAATCCCTTTTCTCTTTAGTTGAGCAGCATATGCCTAAAATTCCCATAAGGCCCATCACTAAGAAACCAAATTAAAAAGCAGAAAAGTGGATGAGTTTATAAAACAGATTTCTCAGATAACTAAAATCAAGTTCCAAGAAGCTTGGTTAGCACAGCTAGCTTCCCAGACACCCACAAACCTCAGTCCTGTCTTTGCGTCCCTCTTTACACCCTTGGGTTTGGTTTTTCTATGGCATACTCATCAACTGTTTCTTAAAACTGCCTTGCTGTGATGCTTAGTGTCTTCCCTTATGATCCTAAGCTAATACCTGGCCTACTCACTCTTGTAGTCATGAATCTCCCCCTTGCACTGACCTGGAGCCTTGATGCAACTCTGAGCAGGGCACGAAGGAGAGCACTCACCTGGCTGTCAGTCAGTGGGAGCCAATAGATGCAGGGAGCTGCCTTGGTTTTCCGGAAAAGGTCATCCAGCAGCTTGGCAGGTGGTTCCTCCTGGGCTTTCTCTGAGGTGGAAGAAAGTCAATCAGATTTGATGCACATGATCCTCTGTCCCATCACATTTGGGTCCCTTTCTCAACCACCAGTGGGTATGTGTGCCCACATACGTAAGTACCTTTCTTCTCATTCTTCTTTTCTTTAGACTTTGCACGTTCCTTGCGGCGGCGGTCACGGGACCGTGATCGGGAACGGGGCCCTTCTCGAACTTTGTCCCGATCCCATTCA